TGGAATGTGCTTCCATTTTTTTTTTTTTTTGTTGGCTGGAATATTTTGTTTTGTTTGTTTATATGCGGCGATATGAAAATATGATGCGAAAAAAGACAAAACTTTTCTCCCCCAAACAATTCCCACCCGTTCTGTTTATTTAGCGTTTTTTTTTTTCGCCTGATGGGCATTGTTATAACCAATTTATTGCTTTTATTGTGGTTTGGTCTTTTTTTGTGGGATTTTTGTTTGGCCGGTGGAAATGAAAGGTGACGTTACAAATACATAAACACATGCTGATCATTATTATCATCATCATCGTCATCATCATCCAAAACCCATTCATTGTGGGTTTTGGGGACAGAGGGCCTTTTATGTGGTCTTTTGGATTTTGTGTTTATATGCCAACTGACTCAGTAACTCTCAACTGTTTCATTGTCTATTCTTAGCTGCTGGCCAGTTGGCTTTGTGCCTTTCATTATTTGGCAACCATTTGGAGACATGAAAACAAACAGACAATACAACCACACTTGCCATTCAAACGGGGTCATTAACAAAATTGTTTATCAAAATAAAAATTTTAATTATGTTTATTTATGATTTTAAGATCCGATTTTGACAAGTGGTGAACTAGAAATAGTTTTTTTTTATGAAAAAATCTTCAAAAATTTTCATTTTGAAGTTCATCGAGGAGGATGTTCGTAAAACCATTTCACATTGGACTCACATCCAATTGTTGTGTCCAAAACTATTTCAACGTCTCCATATATAAACCCTAGAAACCAACAGTGACTTCAATATCAAATTTAGTTCAAAAGTTCAACTTTTCGTACTATTATAGTTCACATTTCCAAAACCCCCTCAATATCTCAATTTCAGATACCAACAGACCCCACAATCTCAAATTTCGGGATTTCAGCCCTAGCAAATTTAGTACCATTTAATACTTTTCGTACAAATATTGGACGCATTTCCAAAACCACATCTATATCTCAATAATATATACCAACAGATACTTCAATACCAAATTTGAGCATTCCAGGTCTATTCCTTCATTCATTACCAAATTTAGTACCATTTAGTATTTTACGTACAAGTTTAGTAAACATTTCCTGAAACACCTCCATATCTCAATCCCAGATACCAAAAAGACTTCAATATCAAATCTGAGGATTCCAGCCGTATCCCTTCTCCTAATACCAAATTTAGTACCATTGTAACCATTTCCAAAAACACCTCTTAATTATATATACCAACAGGAACTTCAATATCAAATTTCCCAGGCCTATCCCTTTACCCAGTACCAAATTTAGTACCAATTAGTACTTTTCGTACAATTATAAAACACACTTCCGGAAACATCTTCATATCTTAATTCCCATTGCCAACAGGGACCTCAACATCAAATTTGAGGATTCCAGGCCTATCCCTTTACCCAGTATCATATTTAGTACCAGTTTGTACTTTTCGAACAATTATAACACACACTTCCAGAAACTCCTTCATATCTTAATTCCAGATACCAACGGATACGTCAATATCAATTTTGGGGATTCAAGCCCTATCCCTTCAACCGATACCAAATTTAGTACCAACTAGTACTTTTCGAACAGTTAAAGTACACATTTCCAAAACCACATCTACATCTCAATACCAGATAGCAACAGAGACATCTATATCAAATTTCAGGCATCCATCTCTATCCCTTCACCCAATACCAAATTTAGTACCATTTAGTACTTTTCGTCCAAACCACCGAAAAATTTCAACCTCAGATACCAATAGTTATCTAAATATCAAATTTTAGAATTTTATCTCTATCTCTTCAACCAACACGAAATTTAGTACCATTTAGTACTTTTCGCAAAATTTTAGTACGCACTTCCAAAATTATCTCCACGTCTCAATTCCAAATACCAACAGAGACCTCAATCTAAAATTTAAGGATACCAGGCATATCCTTTTTTCGAACAATTAAAGTACATATTTCCAAAACCATCTACATATCTCAATCCCAGACACCAACAAAGACCTCAATGTCAAATTTGAGGATTCCAGTCCTATCCCTTGACCCAATACCAATTTTAGTACCAGTTAGTACTTTTCGTACAATTATAGGACGCATTTACAAAAACATCTCCATGTCTCAATTTCAGATACCAACGGACACCCCAATAACAAATTTGAGAATTCCAGACATATCGCTTCGTTTAATACCAAGTTTAGTACCATTTAGTAATTTTCGTACAAGTATAGGACGCATTTCCAAACCACCGGAAACTTTCAACCTCTGATACCAATAGTTATCTAAATATCAAATTTTGGAATTTTATCTCTATCTCTTCAACCAACACGAAATTTAGTACCATTTAGTACTTTTCGCAAAATTATAGTACGCATTTCCAAAATCATCTCCACGTCTCAATTCCAAATACTAACAGAGACCTCAATATCAAATTTAAGGATTTAGTACCTTCACCCAATACCAAATTTGGTACCATTTAGTATTTTTCGTACAATTATAGTACACATTTCCAAAACCAGCTCCATATTTCAATTCCAAATACCAACAGAGACTCAATATTAAAATTCAGGATTTCAGTTGAGAAAAGTACTAATTTAGTACTTCTTAGTACTTTTCGTACATTTAAAGTACACATTTCCAAAACCACATCCATACCTCAATCCAAGTTATCCACCAAGAACTCAATATCAAATTTGAGGATTCCAGCCCTATCCCTTCACCCGATATCAAATTAAGTACCAATTAGTACTTTTTAAACAATTAAAGTACACATTTCCAAAACCACATCCATATCTCAATTCCAGATACCAACAGAGACCTTAATATCAAATTTGAAGATTCTAGCCCTATAACTTCACCCAATATCAAATTTAGTACCATTTAGTACTTTTCGCACAATCATAGTACACATTTCCAAAATCATCTCCATATTTCAATTCTATATACCAACAAGGTCCTCAATATCAAATTTCAGACCTCCAATTTTATATTTTACCCAATACCAAATAAAGTACTATTTGTACTTTTTGTACAAATATTTTCTACATTTCCAAAACCACATACATATGTCAATCCCAGATACCCACAATGACCTCAATATCAAATTTGAGGATTCCAGCCCTACTCTTCACCTAATGCCAAATTTGGTACCATTTAGTACTTTTCGTACAAATATAGGACACATTTCCAAAATCATCTTCATATCTCATTTCCAGATACCAACAGTTACCTAAATATCAAATTTTAGAATTTTATCTTTATCCCTTCATCCAATACCAGATTTGGTACCATTCAGTACTTTTCGTACAACTTTTCCGAAACCACTTCCATCCCCAACAACAGAAACCAATGGTGAAATCTGTATCAATTTTCAGGATTTCAGATGTATTTCTTTACCCAGTACCAAAATTAGTTCTTTTCGTGCAATTATTGTACATATTTCCAAAACCACATCCATATCTCAATCCCAGATACCCACAAAGACCTAAATATCAAATTTGAGGATTTCAGCCCTATCCCTTCACCCAAATCTCAAACACAGATATCATCAGCAATCCAAATATCAAATTTCACAATTGTATCTCTATCCCTTCACACAGTTCCAAAAAAGTACCATTCAGTACTTTTCGTACTGTTATAGTACAAATTTCCAAAACCACCTCCATATGTCCAGGCTACACAAATTTAAGATTTAAGCACTATATTTTTATCCAATACCAAATTGTACCAAATTTGGTACCATTAAGTACTTTTCGTACTAATATAGGACCCATTTCCAAACCATCACCAAATCTCAAACGAAGATATCATCCTTAATCTACAAATCACATTTCAAAATGTGATCTCCATCCCTTCACTTAATATTCAGTACTTTTCGTACAATTATAGTACACATTTCCGAAATCACCTCCATATGTCCAGGCTAAACATGAACAGCGTCCTTAATACCAAATTTCTGATTTCAAGCAATATCTGTTCACCTAACACCAAATTGTACCAAATATAGTACCATTAAGTACTTTTCGTACAAATATTGGACGTATTTCCAAAATCACGTTCATACCTTAAACACAAATACCATTATTAACGTAAATTTCAGATTTTATTCAATTCACAATTTAGTACCATTTTAGTACATTTCGTACAGTTATAGTACACATTTCCGAACCCACCTCCATATGTCCAGGCTACACATGAACAGCGAACCCAATACCAAATTTCAAATGTTAGGCACTATCTTTTCATCCAATACGAAATTGTACCAATTATAGTACTACTTAGTACTTTTGGTGCACTTGCAGTACACATTTCCAAAACCACCTCCACCATCAGAGACTCCAATACAAAATTTCAAAATTCCATCTTCATCTTCATCTGTTCACCCCTAACCAAACCAAACTGTTTCAAAATTAGTATCATTTAGTACAGTTCGTACACTTAGTACACTTTTCCAAAACTTTCACCTTCATATATCAAACTTACTTTCCAAACTTGATTCTTATACCAAATTTCAATTTTTTAGTTCTATCCGTTCGCATAATAACAAATGGTACCATTATTGAAGTATAGTACCATTTTAGAACTTTTCGCAAACTTAAAATTCGAATTTCTAAAAACGCTTTGGTATATCTATCCTGCACTCCATTAGTGACTCTCATTCCAATTTTCACAATTCTAGCTCCATTCTGTTTGTCCAATGCAAAGTATTAAATTTTTAGTACATTTTAGTACTTTTCGTACCCTTTTTGTATGAATTTCCAAAAACCCAGCCTACGCACTAAGGCTAAAGTTTATGCAAAATTTCAAGATTCTAGTTTCAGTCCATCTGTCTGGGTGTTGATTCTTAGTCAGTCAGTCATTCAGTTATTTCATTACTCGATTTAAAACATAAAAATCATAACCTCCAAAAATGTCTCCATTCCATTCCAGCCATTAAAAAAATGCTTTTAAATTATTTTACTAACAGCTCTTCTCTTTCTTCTCTCTCTCATTTCAGATTCCACAACAGCACCATAACTCATATGGCACATCGAACGATCATGTTGAAAACAAATTAATTTTCCAAAATTGAAAATTTGGAAACCATACAAACCACAAAAGCAACAACAAATAAAAAGGTTCCTAAGGAGTGGCAACAAATTTGCTACCAAACTTACAACCAATCCAGCAACTGCTCTCCTTACCCATTCAAATTGCTTGCTGCTAACAGACCGAACACCGCAAAAACAACAAAACATTGGCAATGACCCTAACAACAGCTTCAGCCACAACTGCCGCCACAAATCAGCCCACCTCACTACCCCTGACGACGTCAACGGAAAGCGCCAGTAAAAAAATGGATATTAAATGTCCCGTTGCCGCCGTTGCTGTAGCTGAGGAAAATCTACCCACCTCTGAAATGGATCTCTTGGCCAAATTGGAAGCTGCCAATAAGTTAATTGAAAGCGACGCCAAATCCTTGAATTCTTTGCATTCCACACACAGTCGCAAGAATTCCGATACCAGTCAAATAAGTATTACCAGTCAGAGTGAGTATTTTTTGTCTAGTATTTTTTAAAACAATATTTAAATATTTATTTTTTTCCAGATGGCAACTCCGTAGCCGAAGAGGATATCTGGACCACATGGGCCACAATTCTAAGCGATTGGGAGGGTGCATTGAAAAGGAAAAATCCATGTGTTCGTGAATTGGTGCGTCGTGGCATACCGCATCATTTTAGGTGAGATTTTTTGAAAAAAATCCAAAACTTTTAATTTTCAAAACTAAAAATAGGGTTTAGCGGAAGTTAGACAATAACAGAGAAATTCTAGCAGATTATGAAAGTAGATCTTAAACAAGTAAAATAGTCGGTTTTGCCGACAGATGTATACCCCCAGCCTAGAGTTATAATTATTCAAAGTGTTGATCCCTTATAGGGGAGGTTCCGAAGCAGTTGGACAATATTGACAAATTCGTATCTGACCTAAGACTGATAAAATATTAAAAATTTGGACTATATCATCTATTTTCTATACTTTATATGAGATAGGTGCAAATTTTTGGAAATATGGAAATAGGCATGAGGCATCAGATGTAGCGGACCGACGTATTCCATTCATCTAATACAGATAAATTGAATGCTTATTTCGCTTTCTTTGAACGTTTTGTTTTTCAAAAATCTTGAACACTTTGTGGGGGAGGTACCAGAAGAAATGGTCCGATCTGTACTATCTTTATAACAGACCTTGTGTTGATGGAAATATTGAGATGTACCAACTCTGAATGGAATCGGATGTTAATTTCGCGTTTTATGAACTTTATGGATATTCACAATTTTGACCCTACCAGAAGGAGTGGACCGATATATTCCATCTTCACGCCATTCCTTGGGTTGATAAAATATTGTGATGTGTAAAATTCGAAGAGAACCGGAACATTTTTTCGGATTTTATGATCGTTTCGGTTATTCCAAACTTCGACCCTTTGTGGGGGAGGCACCACAAGGAATGGTCCGACCTCTATCATCTTTATAACAGATCTTGTGTTGATGGAAATACTGAGATGCGCCAAGTCTGAATGGAATCTGATGTTTATTTCGTGTTTTATGAGGTTCATGGATATTCAAAATTTTAACCCTTTGTGGGAGAGGTATCAGAAGTATTAGACCGATATATTCCATCTTCACCCAGACCTTGGGTTGATAAAAATGTTATGATGTGTGTAAATTGAAGAGAACCGGATGCTTATTTCGGATTTTATGATCGTTTCGGTTATTCCAAACTTTGGCCCTTTTTGGGGAGGTACCAGAAGGAATGATCTGATCTCTACCATCTTTATAAAAGATCGGAAGTATTGTGGTGTGCCAAGTCTGAATGAAATCGGATGTTAAACTCGAGTTTTATGAGCTTCGTGAATAGTCAAAATTTTGACCCTTTGTGGGGGAGGTACCAGAAGGAGCGTACCGATACATTTCATCTTCACACCAGGTCTTAGGTTAATTAAAATATTGTGATGTATTTTATAAGAGTTAAAATTATTCAAAATTTTGATCCTTTGTGGGGGAGGTGCTTGATGGAGTGTACCGATATTGTCCATTTTCGAACCTGACCTAGCACTGATGCAAATACTAGGATTTACAAAGTTGGAGCAAAATCGGATTTTTGCTTCTCTTTCTGTGCAGAAAATATATTTTTTGAAATTTTCGACCTTTTGTGTGAGAGGTACCAGAAGGAGTGGGCCGATGTATGTCATCTTAACACCAGATCTTGGGTTGATAAAATTATTGGGATGTGTGAAATTTAAAGACAATCGGACACGTACATCACATTTTATAAGGGTTACAATTATTTGAGATTTTGACCCTTTGTAGGGGAGGTACTTGATAAAGTAGACCGATATTGTCCATTTTCGCAACTGACCTAGCTCTGACGCAAATATTAGTATTTGCAAAATTGGATTATCGTTTCTCTTTCTGTGCAGTAAAGAAGTGGACTGATATTGCCCATCTCCGAACTCGATCTAACTTTGACAATAATATTACCATGCACCAAGTTCGGACTACTTCAAGAGTTATCGCACTAGCCAGACAGACAGGCGGACGGACGGACGTACATCTCTAGATCGACTCCAAATGTCCTGAAACGGATTTGGTCCAAAGAGACCTGTTATTTCGATGAGGCACGCTTTGGCCATATCAAATGATATATACCCTCGCTAGCCATATAATAAGCTGACCTTGAAAGAAAAACGTCCTTAAATAAACAACAAAAAAAACTTTAACTAATTTTTTCCCTCCTTCACTTTCAGAGCCATCGTTTGGCAACAGTTGTGCGGTGCCAGTGATGCAGATAAAAAACAATATGCCGAATATATAAAGGCCACATCGGCATGTGAGAAAGTGATACGTCGAGACATTGCTCGCACGTATCCAGAAGTTGATTTTTTCAAAGAAAAAGATGGACCCGGCCAGGAAGCTCTCTTCAATGTAATCAAAGCCTATTCACTGCATGATCGTGAAGTTGGATATTGCCAGGGATCTGGTTTCATTGTTGGCCTACTACTCATGCATATGCCCGAGGAGGAAGCATTTGCCGTCTTAGTACAAATAATGCAACAGCATCGTATGCGTGATATGTTCAAGCCATCAATGTCTGAATTGGGGCTGTGCATGTATCAGTTGGAGAATTTGGTACAGGAGCAGATACCCGAAATGCATATACACTTCCAGCAACAGGTTGGTCAAACTTTTTGTCGATTTTGTTTAAAATATTGTAATAAATTGTTTTCTTATTTGTCTACGCAGGGATTCCAAACAACCATGTATGCTTCCAGTTGGTTCCTTACCTTGTATACCACATCATTAAGCTTAAACATCAGCAGTCTTATAATGGATGTATTCCTTAGCGAGGGCATGGAATTTATTTTCAAAGTTGCCTTGGCCCTGTTGCTGTTGGGCAAGGACACACTGTTGTCATTGGATATGGAGGCTATGTTAAAGGTGAGTTGAAAATAGTTTTAGAAGGAGATGGAAGATTATAAATAGAAGTTTTATTGAAGGCAGGTGTCGTAAAGGATTTCTATAAATAAGCCTTTTAAGAAGTCTTCTGTTGAAAGAGAATTTTTCAAAAGGACCTATACTCAGATGCCCTTTATAAAATTGACTTCTTTGTACATGTCTTGAAAAGGGTTTTTAAGCATTGAGAGATTATGGAGGTTTCAGAAGTAAGAAAATCTTCTGGGAGATATTCCATAGATAGTCTTCAAAAAGTCTTTCTGTTGAAAGAGGACTTTTCAAGAGGGACTTATGGATGATGCCCCTTACCCATGACTTCTACAAATATCATAAAAAACGAGCTTCTTTATGCAGGTCTTGGAAAGGTTTTTAAGCATTAAGATATTATGGAGGCTTTAAGGGTAAGAAAATCTTTTGAAGAAATCTTTTAAAGATTGACGACCTAGTTAATGTATTTTAGAAGACCATTAAATACCTTCATAGGCCCTATTATACCCTCAGCCATATGGCTGGGAGGGAAGTGGACTTTTCAAGAGGGATTTGTGGAGTTCTTTTATATTCAGATACCCTTTACCCATGACTTTTACAAATATCCTAAAAAATGAACTTTTTTGTGCAGGTCTTGAAAAAGCTTTTTTAAGCATTAAGATATTGTGGAAGCGTTAAGAGTAAGAAAATCTTTTCAGAAATCTTTTGCAGATTGACGACATAGTTAATGTCTTTAAGAAGCCCATTAAATGCCTTCATAGGTCTTATCATACCCTCAGCCATATGGCTAGAGAGAGTATATATCATTTGATAAGGTCAAAACGTGCCTAGTCGAAATAACGGTTTTAAACACTAGGTCTCTTTGGACCAAATCCGTTTCGGGACATTTACAGTCGTTCTAGCGAGATCCGTCCGTCTGCCTGTCTGTCTGGCTGGTGCGCACGATAACTTTTGAAGGGAGCGATTGATTTTATCCAAACTTGGTACATCGTAATATTATTGCCAAACTAAGATCGAGTTCGGATATGGGCGATATCGGTCCACTCCTTCTGGTACCTACCCCACAAAATGTCATCATTTTCAAGAAAATATTTTACTGCACAGAAAGAGAAAGGATAAGCCGGTTTTACTCCATTTTTGCAAATCCAATTTTTTGCATCAGTATTAGATCAGGTATGAAAATGGACAAATCGGTCCACTCCATCGAGTACCTTTCCCTCCAAGGGTCAAAATTTAGAATAATTTTAACTCTTTTAAAATTTGATGTAAGTGTCTGATTGATTTCAAATTACAGACATCACAATATTTTTGTTAACCCATGGTCTGGTGTGAAGATGGAATGAATCGGTGCACAAAGGGTCAAAATTTTGAATTTTCATGAAGTTCATAAAACACGAAATTAACATCCGATTCCATTCAGACTTGACACATCACAATATTTCCATCAACACAAGATCTGTTATAAAGATGGTAGGGATCGGACCATTACTTCTGGTAATTCCCGCACAAAGGGTCAACGTTTTGAATACCCAAAACGATTATAAAACCTGAAATAAGCATCCACTTCTCTTCAAATTTCACACATCCCATTATTTCCTCTAACACAAGATCTACTGTGAAGATGAAATGTATCGGTCCACTCCTTTTAGTACCTCCCCCACAAAGGGTGAACATTTTGAATATCAATGAAGCTCATAAAACGCGAACTTAACATCCGATTTCATTCAGACTTGGCACATTTCAATATTTCCATCAACCCAAGATCTGCTGTGAAAATGGGATAGATCGGCGCACCCCTTCTGGTACCTCCAAAGGTACAAAGGTTTCAAAATTTTAAAAATAAAACGCTCATAATCTCTTCAAATTTCACACATCCGAGCATTTTAGCTGTTCTAAAGATTATAGATATCTGCCAACCCTCGCCCACAAAAGGGTCACAATTTCCAATGCATATATCTGTCATAACTTGCGAATCATGTCGGCGATTCTGTACAACTTGCTATATCTAAATATTTCTCTTAACCAGAAATCTGATAAGAATATATAATTAATCGGAATATGTATTAGACGAAGTGAAATATTTTGGTCCGCTACATTTGGTACCTCACTCATTAAATTTGCACATATCTAATATAAAGTATAGGAAGTAGACGATATAGTCCAAATATGGCACGTTGTAATGTTTATATCAGTTCTTAGGTCAGATACGAATTGGACAATATTGGCCAGCTGCCTCAGAACATCCACCATAAAAAGTCAACTGTTTTAATAATCATAACTCAAGGCTGGGGTATACATCTGTTGGCAAAACCGACTGATACTATTTATCTTGTTTTTGTAGAAATCGTTTTAGAGGATTAAGGGGCTTCTATTGATAACATGGCTCAAAATGCCTTATTTTATTATTATTTCTTTTAGAAGTCTTCTTTGGATAGAAATCCTTTTGGGGGTCTTTTGATCTCGAAGAGGTTAAAGAAATCTTCATCTGAACCTAAAAAAATATTTCTATTTATTTCTAGTATTTCCAAAAAGAACTTCCCAAAAAAGTTGAGGCCGATCCCGATGCTTTCTTCCAATTGGCCTATTCCATAAAAATCAATACGAAACGCATGAAGAAAATGGAAAAAGAATATCAAGATGTTAAGAAAAAGGAACAAGAAGAAATGGTTGAACTGAGACGTTTGCGAAGAGAAAATCGTTTACTGAAGCAACGCAATGATCTATTGGAGGCTGAGTCTGCAGAATTGGCTGATCGTTTGGTCAGAGGACAAGTGTCCAGGGCCGAAGAGGAGGAAACAAGGTGGGTTAATGTATTTCAACTCATTATGTGACTAATTTGTATTGTTTTAACTTCCAGCTTTGCTATACAAACCGAACTAATGCAGTTGCGTCGCTCTTATTTGGAAATCTCTCATCAATTGGAAAATGCCAACGAAGAAGTTCGTGGTCTAAGTTTACGTTTACAGGAAAATGTAAGTTTCATTTATGGGAAATATATATTCTTACCTTTTTTTTATAAAACTCCCAACATAATTTTGTGCTCACCACCTTTTTCGATGCCTATTTTATTTATCATTCCATCATCAAATTTCATAATGCTGTATCTAATCACCAAATTTCAATAAGAAAACCAAAATACTTCCAATTGTCTGGATATGGCTAAACAATCTATAATTAAAACCAACAACAAACGAGTATGGTTATAAATTTAGTTTAAATACTAAAAATTTAGTTATCTAAGATTCCATTATAACCATGTTCGTTTGCTGTTGTTTCTCACTCTCGGTGTATTTGTTTTTTAATACATTTCCCTTATTTGTATTCCTTCTTCTTTTATATTTTTTTGTAACAAAAATACTCTGGTTGTGGTTTACATTTTATCTGTATATGTTATTTACCAAAACACAACAAAAACACTTTATAACAAATACATACACCAACATGAAATTCCAAAAAAAATATACATACTTCAACTCAAGCAGACTGATCCTTTGGGAAGCGTAAGTAAAAATGTATAAAACCCCACACTTTTAAGAAAGGAACACCTTTCTTTTGTGTGTTCAAATGCATGTCCTGTTTTTCGTTGTTGTACTAACATAGGTATAAGTGTTTTAAATTAACAATGCAATGTATCTTCAATTTAAGATGGCTTCTGAGCTGAAGGCCAAATTCACAAAATTTTAGATGAGCTGTAAAATATGTAATGAAATACTACCAGAAGCTAGTATTTATAGGGGTGAAGATGAGCAGAAGAGTAAATTTATAAATTTCTAGAGAAGCTTTACCACTCTCATGAAATACTACCAGGAAGTAGTATTTATAGAGGTGAAGATAAGGAATAGGAGAATGTATGGAAAAGCGGAAAAATTATGATTATAGACGAGGACTTCTACACATAGCTAGATGGGCAATAAATGTCTACAAACGAAGTATAAAGAGTGTCTACAGATCTGTTTTAAAGGTCTATATCTGAAATAATAGCAGAAAAAGAAATTAAAGTCGATCTGAAAGGGAAGACGGACTGAAAGGGAGAAAGACTGAAAGGATGGTCTACAAACGAGCTAAATAAAGACGCTATAGACGAACTTGAAGCAATTTATACATAATAGCTAAATGATGTGCCTAATGACGAGCTTAACGAACTCAAAAGGGGAATCCCCCCCTAAAAAGGGTGTATATAAATGAGGTGAAAAGGGAATCCTTAGATAAGCTGGAAAGAGAGTCTACAGACTAGCTGAAAAGATTCATTTAGAGACGATCTGAAAGGAGATGATCTGATAGAGGAGTCTATAGACGTATCTGAAAGTGAAGTCTGTGGACGTGTCTGAAAGTAAAGTCTAGGCGACCAGAAAGTAAAATCTTTAGATTAGCTGATAGTGAAGTCTATGGACGAGCTGAAAGTGAAGTCTATGGACAAGCTGAAAGTAAAGTCTATGAACGAACTGAAAGTGAAGGTTAATGAGGAGTTAAAAGTAAATTCCATGGACGAGATGAAAGTGAATTTTATGGATGATGTGAAAGCAGAGTCTATAGGCGATCTAAAATTGGAGTCGATAGGCGACCCGGAAGGGGAGTCTTTAGGCGACCTGGAAAGGGAGTCAATAGTCGATATGAAAAGGGAGTCTATCGTCGACATGAAAAGGGAGTCTATAGACGAGCTGAAAAGGGAGTCTATAGGCGGCCTGAAAAGGGAGTCTATAGGCGACGTGAAAAGGGAGTCTATAGGCGACCTGAAAAGGGAGTCTATAGGCGACCTGAAAAGGGAGTCTATAGGCGACCTGAAAAGGGAGTCTATAGGTGACCTGAAAAGGGAGTCTATAGGCGACCTGAAAAGGGAGTCTATAGGTGACCTGAAAAGGGAGTCTATAGGCGACCTGAAAATGGAGTCAGTAGGCGACCTGAAAAGGGAGTCTATAGGCGACCTGAAAAGGGAGTTTATATGTGACCTGAAAAGCAGTCTATAGGCGTCCTGAAAAGTGAAGGTTATTGACGAGCTGAAAGTGAATTGTATGGATGAGCTGAAAGCAGAGTCTATTAGCTACCAAAAAATGGAGTTCGACCTGAAAATGGAGTCTATAGGCCATCTGAAAAGGGAGTCTATAGGCGACTTGAAAAGGGAGTCTATAGGCGACCTGAAAAGGGATTCTATAGGCGACCTGAAAAGGAAGTCTATAGTCGACCTGAAAATGGAGTCTATAGTCGCCCTGAAAAGGCAGTCAGTAGGCCACCTGAAAAGGGAGTTTATAGGTGACCTGAAAAGCAGTCTATAGGCGTCCTGAAAAGGAGTCTATGGGCGAGCTGAAAGTTAAGTCCATGGACGAGTTGAAAAGGGATGTCTATGGATGAGCTGAAAGTGAAGTATATCTATGGACGTGATGAAAGTGAAGTCTGTGGATGTGCCGAAAGTGAAGTGTATGGACAAGCTGAAAGTGAGTTTTAGAGCTGAAAGTCTATGCGAGCTGAAAGGGAAGTCTGCAAACGAGCTGAAAAGGACGAACTGAGAGGGAAATCTATAGAAGAGCTGAAAGTGGAGTCTAAAAGGGAAATCATTAGAAGATGTGAAAAGAGATTCTGCAGACGAGCTGGAAATTTAGTCTATAGACGAGTGGAAACCCAGCCTGGGGGAAAGGAAAGTCTATAGAAGAGCCTAAAGACGTATATATACATCAGCTGAAAGTATATAGACTCTTCCATATGTGAGCTGAAAGGGGAGACTGTGGACGATCTGGAAAGGTAGTATATAGAGCTTAAAGCGACCAGAAGATACTTTTCGAAGGCGACAACGGACAGTCAGACAGATATTATTATTTAAAGATTATAAGAAGACGTCTTTAACAACGTCTAAATATCAGCCTTTAATGGATCCCACAAGGGAGGTTTTTAAGGCGACCAGGTTGTCAAAAAGGGAGTCTATAGACAAGCTAAAAAGTGGAATCTAAAGATAAGCTGAGAAAGGAACCTACAGACGGGCTTAAAAGAAAGACTTTTTAGGCAAAGAAATTGTCGTCGGGAAGGGGGCCTTTATAGATAAATAATTGAGTCTATAGACAAGCTAAAAGTAGAATCTAAATATATGCTGATAAAAGAGCCTACAGACGAGCTGAAAAATAGACTTTTTAGGCAAAGAAATTGTCGTCGTGAAGGGGGCCTTTATAGATAAATAATTGACTTCAAATGAAACCACAAGGGAGCGTCTTAAGAAGAATAAAAGGGAATATTTTAAGACGACTGAAGTGAGACCTTTTATGACGACCAAATAGGGTATTTCAAGACAACGAAACAAATAGATTTCGAAGGCAATTGGATGGTAGTCTTTTTTAAGAAATTGGATTCCTTGAAAATAAGTAAAAGACGTTTTTAAATGCCAACAGAGTGAGCTTTTAATTAAAGTCAGAAGGGAGTCCTTGAAGGTAGGTAGAAAGTGAGTCAGAAACGAACCAAAAAAGAGGTCAATAGACAAGCCTAATATGGGTTCCATAGATGAAACGGATTATGTATACTAGCTAAGAAGGGGAGTATTTTAAGTGTTCTAAAAAGGGAGTATTTCATTTCATTTCATTTATTTACCTTACAAAGAAATATAAAATAAAAATATAAATTTCTGGAAGCATAAAGCGACAGTCTTCAAAGACGATTCAGAATAAACGAGACGTAGTCTTTAAAGTTCTATAAGGGAGGGGAAAGGAGTCTTAAAATACGATAAAACGATTTTTTTTTAAATACGACCATTAAGATCGGATTATACAAAGAAACTGAATCAAATGTAAATTTTTATAGAAAAGCTGAAAGCCATAGAATCTGTAGAGGCCGGCTTTTGACGGTGGATTTTTTATGTGTGTAAAAGGATGGTGGGTAGACAAACTGACGCTCCAAGGAGCATGAACTCTTAAACAAACAGAAGGGGATCAATAATACTAACTAGAAATTGATATTCAAAAATTTTTAAAAACAGACGTACGAAAAGAGCTCTACTTGTCCATTTCAGATAGTGAATCTTTTTGGAGACTACCGAAATGAAGTTTTAGAAGACATTTTTAATTATTTTTTACTAACCAACACAGTCCTATTATTTTGTAACTAATATTTGTTTTTCGTTTTACATTAGAATGCTTTAACCATAACAACACTACTCATGTTTTAATTAACAAATGTTTAGATAATCTAACCCAGAAAATAAAATTTATTGTTCCACTAATTATCTAATTGTTGCATGTTTCTGTTCTCCACGCCCAACTTTGATAGAGCCTTCAAAACTAACAGTTCTTTTTGTACATCCCTTTAGAACAACTCCCGTCAATCATCGCTCGATGAACTTTGCATGAAAGAAGAAGCTCTCAAGCAGCGCGATGAAATGGTCTCATGCCTACTCGAGGAATTGGTTAAGGTACGACAAAGTTTGGCCGAGAGTGAAGATCAAATACGCAACCTGAAGGCCAAAGTCGAAGAGCTGGAGGAAGATAAAAAGACTTTACGTGAAACCACACCCGACAATTCGGTGGCCCATCTACAGGATGAACTAATAGCCAGTAAATTGCGAGAGGCTGAGGCCAGTCTCTCGCTGAAAGATCTCAAACAAAGGGTACAAGAGCTAAGCAATCAATGGCAACGTCAGTTGCAGGAACAACGCAACGATCACAATTCCCACCCCGTTGATTCGACACCAAAGAAACTACTCACCAATCTCTTCGATTCATCCAAATCGAATGAACATACCCAGAAATTGGAAGAAGAATTGATGACAACCCGCATTCGTGAAATGGAAACTCTAACCGAGTTGAAAGAGCTACGTCTCAAAGTAATGGAGCTGGAAACTCAAGTCCAGGTCTCAACAAATCAACTGCGTCGCCAGGATGAGGAGAATAAGAAATTGAAGGAGGAACTGGATTCAGCTCTGATGCGTGAAAAGGAAATGGCCAACAAGGCCAGGGAACAGCAGCATAGGTAAGGAGGGGGAATTTATTTGCTTTTATTAGACATACATTAATTTGTTGTTGTTTTTTGTTTTCCCCCACCTTCAGATACTCTGATTTGGAATCTCGCATGAAGGACGAACTGATGAATGTCAAAATTAAATTCACCGAACAGTCACAGACCGTGGCCGAATTGAAACAGGAAATTTCCAGATTAGAAACAAAGGTAAGGTTTTTGACTTCAAGAAAACGAGAGTAAAGAACATATCGCTTCTTTTACCGGGTAGATGAATAAGGAGAAAGTACCCATGAAGAAAAATATTTTATAAATGAGCTGAAAGAGAAGCTTTTCTAGAGCTGGGTAGAGAGATTTAATCCGTATATAGAAGAACTTTTGGGACAACTACATTATCTAACAAAAATTGGAGATGATTAGAAAATATAAATTTTCATAGCATATGTTTTGCAATCATCTCCAATTTTTATTTTTTGTATTTATTGTTAAGATTATTTCTGCAAGGCCTATCAGAACACCTGGAACAATTGAACATTTGTTCAAAATATTTTTGTATAGAACATGGAACTAATAGTCGTCAAATATTTACAATTTTTTAACGACGATCCGACCAATATTTGTTTTTTAGGAATATTTTTTCTGAGAACATCATTGATTACAATTTTTCTGTCAAGTACAAATTATGCCAATCATGAATTCTTGAGATAATTTTTAGACAAACTAATATGCAATTAATCGTGGTTTCTTAAAGATACTCTTTAAAGACCCAATGGACAGACAATTTTGAATAATATTACTCATGGATTAAATGGACAAATGATCGTGAATTTTTAATAATATTTTAAGGGCTCAACGGACAAATTATCGTGTATTCACAAGAATATTTTTTAAAAACCTAATGGGCAAATGTCAATGTATTTTTTAGGAATATATTTTAAAGAACCAACGAACAAGTAATTATGGATTTTTGAAGATTTTTTTCAGTGCTCAATAAACAAATAATCGTAGATTTTTTAGAAATATTTTTAAGGACCCAATGGACAAACAATTTAGAATTCTTTAAAAAAATATTTTTAAGGACCCAATGGACAAACAATTTAGAATTCTTTAAAAAAATATTTTTAAGGACCCAATGGATAAATAATCGTAAATTCTTTTAAAAATATTTTTTAAGGTCCCAATGGACAAATAATCGTGGATTGTCAAAGAATATTTTCATGGGCAACATATATTCTAGGGACGACCATAGACTAACAGAATGAAATCTTTATAGACACCCATAAGGTACCAAATGTGACGTCCTTATTGAAGAACATAAGGCAGTATTTACGATTTATAGACGACAAGAAGAAAGTCTTTGCAAGAAGGTAATCTTTATAGCCCAAAAAGTCTTAATTGATGAACAGCATTAAGTCTTTCTGAACGCCATCTATGATGCCCAAAATGGAGTCTTTAATATAGGCGACTAAATTGGAGTCGTTTCCAGAACGCGATTTTTTATACCAGTAGAATAATGTTTTAATTGATGAACAGAAGCAGTCGTAATGACGGGAATGGAAAAAGTGTTTTTAAAGACGACTTAAAACAAGTTTTATATTTTTCAATGCGATTAGGAATGAGTTTTCATTGGCTACCAAAAATGGGTATTTTTACAGGACCAGAAGGATGCCTTTATGATAGTCAAAAGGAAATCTTACTAGATGACTAAAGGTGTCTTCCTAGAGAGTCAGACACATATCTTTATAGATCTTCAGGAATAAAGTATTTATAATAAGGAGGGAAGGATTTTGTTTTAAATAGCCAGAAGATAATATTAAGAAGACTATAAGACAACAATATATCACTCGAAAGGAGTACCTACATCAGACTAAAAGAAATCATTTATGACGATCCAAATTGGGTCTTTATAGACGACAAGAATGGTTTCTTTATAGACAACCAAAAGACAAAAATTTTACACAATAACAAGTTAAAAAGTATCAGTCGGTATTGCCGACAGATGCATACTCTCAGCAAATGTTCGATGATTTAAATATATATTGACTTTCGGTATGATTATTCAAATTGTTGACCATTGTTGTAGGTTGCAAAGGAATGGTCCAATATTGACCATTTTCTATCGGACCCTAAAGAAATATGATATAAATATGTGGGGGGGTAACATATAAAATATTCCGATCTCTACCATCTTTATAACATATCTTGTGCTAAGACGTGCTAAGTCTGAATGGAATCGGGTGTTGATTTCGTGTTTTATGAGCTTCATGAATATTCAAAATGTTGACCCTTTGTGGGGTAAGTACCAGAAGGAGTGGACCGATATATTCCATCTTCACACCAGACCTTGGATTAATAAAAAATTTTTGATGTGTGTAATTTGAAGACAATCGACCACTTACGTCACATATTTTATACTATTTCAAAATTATAGGGTGATGGATTTTCGCACATGACCTAGCACTGATGCAAATATGAGGATTTGCAAAGTTGAACAAAATCGGATTATTCTTTTTCTTTCTGTGCTGTAAATTATTTTCCTTGAAAGTATTAACATTTTATGGGGAGGTACTAGAAGGAGTGGACCAATATTGCCCATCTTCGAATTCGATCTAAGTTTGACAATAATATTACGACGTAGCAAGTTTGGATCAAGTCGGATACTCTCTTCGAGAGTTACAGTGGGAACCCGCCACACAGACAGACACGGAAGGACGTTGTTAGATCGACTCCAAATGTCCTGAAACGGTTTTTGTCCAAAGAGGCCTGAGTCTAAAACCGTTATTTCGATAAAGCATATTTAAGCCGTATGAAATGATATACGGGTGACATAAAAAAAACTGCAACAAATTCGAACGCCATAATTTTGATATTTTTTATTCTGATGTCGCGGTCGATTATTACGACACCACATCATCACAATGACCGCCGCTTGAGTTTTGGTGGCCAACCGAAGTTGCACATTTTCAGCTGACCTTCTTTGGCAGGTAAACACGACCATATTGTTTGTTTACAAACTGCTAGATAACGAATGTTTCCTCATCGGAGAAAACCAAATTCGGCAGTTCACCACTTTCGGCCAAGCGAAGCATCTTTTTAGCTCTTTTGATTCTATTTTTTCTGTTGTGGTGTAGTTCTTGCACTTTTTCATTTCAATGGCTTTATCCCGAGCTCATTTTTCAATATTTGCCGAATGGAATATTGCCATATGTTCAGATCACGAGCTATTTTTCGTTCACTACGACACGGGTTTCAATCAAGTCGTCACTTCTTTACTTTTCGAACCATTTCTGCTGATGTTGCTGTTTTCTTCCGTCCACTTCGTTGACGTCGGACTACGCTACCAGTATCACGGTAACGAGCGATGGTACGAGACACAAAAGATTTATTCACATTTAAATGCTGGAGTGCTCTAACGATAGCCACTTGTGGTTTTCCAGCCAGATATAAAGAAATCACACTATCACGCTTGAATTCCATCACGAATAAATATTTTTCTGGAAAATTCTCACCAAAATGCTTTTGTATTCTTGTAAACAATATATGAGTTGTCACTGGAAGAGTTTTAACATTGGCTTAGAAATGACAGCAGTCTGGAGTTGGTTGCAGTTTTTTTTCATCTCACCCTGTATCTAATATAAAGTATACGAAGTAGTCGATATAGTCCAAATCTGGCAGGTTGTAATTTTTATATCAGTCTTAGGTGAGATACGAATACGTCAATAACGGGCAACTGCTTCGGAACCTAAGGGGTCGTTTGAATAATCATAACCCAAGGCTGGGGGTATACATCCGTCGGCAAAATCCACTGATACTATTTTACTTGTTTTGATGATCAGAAGGTATTCATTTAAGACAATCAAAATGAAGGGTTCCAAAGCGAGACTTTATGACAACAAGGAGGTATTCTATTTAGACCACAGGAATACATTTCTTGCCGAATTTATTGACGACCAGAAAATAAACTTTATGACAACTAGAAGTATTATTAGGGTATTCAATAGGATCCAAAGGGATTCCTTTTGTTCTTTTTAGACGATATTAGCAGAATTTTTATGAAGGACCTGATAATAGTCACTCTGTCGACCTGAGGGAGCTGTTGTAAAATTACGACATCAAAAATTGATGTTAATTATTTATTTCAAAAATTTCAATATTTCTTTATTTTCGTTTTCTTCTTTCAGAATTCTGAAATGTTGGCAGAAGGTGAACTACGTTCTAATTTAGATGATTCCGATAAAGTACGTGATCTGCAGGACAGAATCGCCGACTTGAAAGCAGAGGTAAGTCGACATTGTTTCAATGTGAAAACAAATGGATTGTTTGACCCAAAGTGAGCCACGTCACGCCACGCCCCCTCCCATTCATCCCCCAAAAATATGTTTTGAGTTTGTTTAGTTTGTTTTCAATACGTTTTCCCCCTCCGCCACACATCAGTCACATTCTACCCCCCCTCCTACCATTGTTCATGTTGTATTATTAATTTATTCCAGCTATTATTCTATTGTAAATAATACAACTAAAAAACTATAATTCACTTAACTCACTTTACAACATCAAACAACAACAACTAAAAATTGGTTTTGGGTTACATTTGTTACTACACTACTACTACTACTACTACTACCACTATTACAATTACCAATAACTTTTACTGATGATATGTGTCCCCACAATAAAACTATACATTTCACTCAAAAGCTATTTCACCCAAAGATTACCATTAACTGTTCATTTCATTATTATCCGTCATTGTGTTGGCAATACAGCATAGACTTCGTTTGGAATGACCTTTAAAGAATCGGATTTTAAAATCGGAAAAAAGTTCAAGAGAAATAATTCCAAGTTTCTAAGCAATTTATTGTTATTGGGTGCCTTCCAAAGGTCTTTCCGACATAGAGGGTGAGATGAAAAAAACTGCAACCAATTTCAGACTGCTGTCATTTCTAAGCCACTCGTCCGACAGCTGTTAAAATTATTCCAGTGACAGCTGATTATATTGTTTACAAGCCTACAAAAGCATTTTGGTGAGAATTTTCCAGAAAAAAAGTTATTCGTGATGGAATTGAAGCGTCGTGATAGTGTGATTTCTTTAGATTTGGCTGGGAAATCACAAGGGGCTATCGTTAGAGCACTCCATCATTTAAATGTAAAAAAAAACTTTCGTATGTCGTACCATCGCCCATAACCGAAAGACTGGGAGCGTAACGCAACGTTAAGAAAGTGGACGAAAGAAAACAGCAACATCAGCAGAATTGGTTCGAAAAGTAAATAAGCGATTTGATCGATATCCGCGTCACAGTGGCCGAAAAATGGCTCGTGAGCTGAACATATCGCAATATTCCATTCAGCAAATATTGAGAAATGAGCTCGGGGTAAAGCCATTGAAATTCCAATTCCAAAAAGTGCAAGAACTTACACCGCAACAGAAAGAAAATTGACTCAAAAGAGCTAAAGAGTTGATTCGCTTGGCCGAAAGTGGTGCACTGCCGAATTTGGGTTTCTCTGTCTCCGATGAGAAAACATTCGTTGTCCAGCAGTTTGTAAACAAACAAAATGATCGTGTTTACTTGCCAAAGAGGTCAGCTGAAAATGTGCACCTTCGGTTGGGCATCAGCACTCAAGCGCCGGCCATGGTGATGGCCGATGGTCGCTCATCGCTCGTATTAATCGACCGTGGCATCAGAATGAATGCCGAAAATTATCGCGAAAATATTCTGGAGGGTGTATTAAAGCCTTGGTCACGCAAACGTTTTGGCCGCAGACCTTGGGCATTCCAATAGGACTCAGCGCGAGTTAAGTAAATAGAAGAAACACACTTTAGTTCAATTAATTTTATTATTTAATATTTGCGACACTTCGCTTTAACTTCTTACATACGACTGAAATGACTCTATGATTTACAACAATACTTATAACATAATTTCTTAAAACTAAGGGTTATGGATGAGAGAGATCAGAATTCAATTTAAAAGGAAAGGAGTAAAGAATAATTTATAAAGACTGAAAATAAAGAAAAAGTAAAACAATATATACAGTGAAGAGCATAATTGAACAATTACGTAACTTCCCCTTCGTTTAAATCAGGACAATGTCCACATTGTTGTTAATTTTGTTTAAGACATTAAGAATAACTTACTATACAAACTAATAATAAAATATACTAGTGTCAAATGTTAATTAAATATATTAAGAGTTAAGGCATTTGATATCATATTCATCTTTATATTTCGTTTTTCTTTTTATATTGGATTTATGCACATTTTGAAGATCATTTAATCGAAATTTAGGCTCATCTTTATGCCTTACAGATTTATAATTTTTAATGTAACCTTTGTCTCTATGTTCTGTATAATTTTCTCTATTCATATTTCTTTTATTTATTACATGTTCTTTTATAGCAATGGCTCTTTCATAGACTTTTGTTTTATTGCAAACTCCAAATTCAACATCGAATGGTTTTTCCTTAATGACTGAATGGTAACTGTTATTGAAAAATTCCACGGCTTTACTTACTTTCTCTTTAATAGATAAAGACTTTTGTTCAATATACAACATTCTAATTTTTTCTGTAAGAGTATTGTGGAATCTTTCTATATCAGAGTTTCCGGTATGGTTGTTAGATTTGACTAAGTGCAGTTCTATATTCTCCTCTCTAAAATAATCTTTTATATTTATGCTTTTAAATTCATTGTCTGTGATTAGTTTACTGAAGTATCCCATTTGTGATTTATATAGACGAATTTTTTCTATGACCGTTTGGTTAGTCCTGTCTTCTAAATAATAAGCTGTTGCAAACTTCGAAAAACGGTCGAAAAATGTCAAAAAACTGCATTTTGAATTTATATATATGTCCATATGGATAATTTGTCTAATATCGGTTGGAGTTTCCGTATTTTGAAATCTAGCTTTTATGGGATTTCGATTGAATTTTACCCTACTGCAAATATCACAATTATTAACATATTTTTGGATTAAAAATTTTAAGTTTGGAAAATATATTTTTCGTTTTAAACCCTCATAATTTTCATTTATACCGGTATGTCCAGTCTCATTTTTGTGATAGTAATGTATTTGTTGATATGTCTCGTCTTCATTTTTCATATCTTGTGCCATATATGCACACCGAACAAATTTAACGGAAGAGTTGCCCTGAAATAGGTCTGTTATCTTTTTTTGTAAAATATAGTACTTTTTATCACTAAGTTCTGTAAAAATTCCAACTATTCCTTTTTTTATATTGTCCATTAGTATTTTATCCACAGTAGCATTTAAATCTTCTGAATTTATAAAAATCTTTTTATTGCCATGTACTTCATCAGTTTCTTTATATTTATCATTTGTCAAAATAATTTGTACTTTAAACCTATTAACTACCGTATCAAGGATATTTATATAATCATTATCGCCTTCCAACTGCGAATGGATGGTTTCCAAATCATCATCACCATTATTGTATAATGATCCATTGGAATCGCTGAAATGGTTAATTTGCCCCGAATCGTTATTAAGTCTGCTTAAGAAATCAGCAACCGTATTATCTCTTCCTCTGATGTACCCAATATTAATATTAAACTCACTTAATTTCATTATCCAGCGATATAGTCGTGGGCTCAATTCCTTTGTCTGAGATTTTACAAGTAACCATTTCAATGGTTGATGGTCTGATAGTATATCGAATTTAATGCCGTACAGATAAGGACGAAAATAGCTAGTTGCCCAAACTATTGCTAGAAGTTCTTTTTCTGTGGCTGAGTAATTACGTTCATGTTTACTAAGTGTCCTGCTGGCGTAGCATATTGGATGTCCATTTTGTTGTAAAACGGCACCAACTGCGATATCGCTAGCATCAGTTGTTAATTGGAAAGGTTTGTGAAAGTCAGGATATTTTAATACTGGGTCTTCTGTCAAGATTCTTTTTAATTTTTCAAATGAATTTATAAAGTTTGGATCATTAACATTTAATCGAACGTCTTTTTGTAAGTATTTAATCATTGGATATGCCACTTTGGCGTAATCTTTTATAAATTTGCGGTAATATCCTGTTATACCCAAAAACGATTTTATGCCTTTTATAGTATGAGGTAATTTTAAGTTTAAAATTGTATCGATTTTTTCTGGATTAGGTTTAACTCCTTGTGTTGTCAGCAAGTGGCCTAAGTATAAAGTTTGCTTTGCAAAAAACGAGCATTTATTGATCTGAATTTTTAGATTTACTTTTCTCAAAGCACTAAAAATCTTTCTAATACTTGTCATATGCTCTTGAAGACTGGACGAAAATATAAGTATATCGTCGAGATATACGACACATATCTTATTAATAAACTCACGAAGAACTTGGTTAATCAGCCGTTGAAACGTGGCAGGGGCATTTTTCAACCCAAATGGCATTCGGACGAATTCGTAGTGTCCGTAGGGTGTTGAAAAAGCCGTTTGAGGTCTATCACACTCTTTTACCATAATCTGGTGAAACCCCTTCGCCAAATCTATTGTAGTAAAATATTGCGAACGACCAAGTTTATCCAGTATTGTATCAATGTTAGGGATTGGGAATTTGTCATCAACCGTTAAATCATTGAGTCTCCTATAATCAATGACAATCCTGAATCTTTGTTTTCCTGAGTGATCTATTTTCTTCGGAACAATCCAAAGAGGACTGTTATAAGGAGAATTGCTCTCAGTTATTATACCACCTTCAAGCATTTCTTTTATCTGATTACAAATTTCTTGCTCGTATATGTATGGGTATCTGTAAATTTTGGTATATACAGGTTTATCGGAAATGGTTTTAATCTCATGTTCGATAATAGGTGTATTTCCCAGCCTATCGCCTTCTCGATACACCAAATCGTTAAATGAACATAAAATGTCTTCTAAAGCTAAAGATTCTTCATGATTCAAATTTTTGAATAAATGATCTAAAATTGTGGTTTCAAAATCTAATGTCTCGATTTGGTGAATCTCATCAGCTTCATATGGACAAATTCTAATAAAATCTAGCGTAATATTATTAATTGTCAATGTATCTCTTTCCATGTCAATTATAGCTCCAAGAGGCTTCAATATGTTCTGACCTAAAATTGCATCAAAATCTTTATTAAAAAATTTTGTTAGCTTCCAAGACATTGTTGCCTTTTCACTAAATTCTATGGGTAGGTCTGTAATAATTTCGTGTGTAATTTCCATACTACCATTTAATGACGTAAAGGATATTTTCTTAGAAAGTGGAATTCTTTTAAATTTTGGAAGTTTGGTTTCGTTCATAATGGAAGTAGTTGAGCCGGTGTCAATAAGTGCTTTAATTTTGTTTTCTCCAATAGTAAGATAAATCATTGGAAGTGCCTTTTTGAGGCAGTTGTAAGAAAATTTACTTCTTCTTCCTCGTTTGAATTAACATTTTGGCTGAACTGAATATGGTCTACTTCCATCTCACTATTTACATTAGGTATTGAACTGTTATTTACATTTCCAAAAGATCGATGAACATTAGAGCCGTTGCGTTGATAGTTTCTTGAATATTGGTTACTATTAAATGATCTTGTTTGGCTTGAATTAACATTTATATTTCTATTATTTCCATTGTTATGATTACTATTAACATATAACCTATTACTATTTCTTTTGAAAGAATTATAATCGTAATTATTGTCCCTTTTTGGCTGATCAACATTTTTTTTCTCTTTTTCTAATCTAATCAAACCTTCGCGTTCCAACAAATTAAATGCATCTCTTAATTTATCAATATTTCTGTTAATTACTACAGATGCAAGATTTAAATCAATATTATTTAAAAATGTTTTTAGAATTATTTTCTCTACATATAAGGGACTAAATTCTACAGGTTTCTCTTTGTCGTATTCATATTTTTCGTTTAATTTACATAATATTTCTCTTAGTTGCTTATAATAGTTAATGATACAAACGTTTTTTGCTTCAAATGCATGTTGATATAATTGGTGATACGATTCGTGGATTCCGAAGTTGCTGATTAATGCGTCTTTTGTCTCATCCCAACTCGGATTTGGGCCCAAGGTCCGTAAAACATGAAGAGCCTCTCCCTGAATTTTATTTAATACAACTCTTTGGTAGATGTACTCTTTCGCTTCGGCATTTTGCTGAATAAGAGAAAATATTGTATCCACCTCTCTTAAAAAGGAAGTGAGAGCATAAGTCTCGTCTCCCCTGTATTCATGAATTCGCTGAGCGTCTTTTAGAATGTCATTCATTGAGAGTGATAATTGGGCCATTTTGATTCACTTAAATTTTCTCTGAGAGTAAAATTATATTTTTTATTGGCTCTCAATTTATTTATTTTTTTTATTTTTTTCTTCTTTGTTTATGTGATCAAAGTCACGTAGCCCTTTTACTCAGTGAATTTGTTGCTTTATTTGGTTACTTTTTTGATTTACTTCACTGTTGTCTTTTTTTTACTTCACTTGGTGGCAATTTCTTGTCTTTTTCATATTTTAGTTGTCTGAAGCAACTGCAATTTCTGCCCTTGAATGACCTTGAACGTACAATTGATTATTTTTTGTTACTGATGTTTTTTTTTTCACAACACATTTTTTGACAATTAGTGAATTCAACAAATTTTAAATTAGAATATTCTGTTTTTATTATTTTTTTCAAGTCGCATATTCGTATTTAACTTGATTGTTGCAACTTTCTTTTTTTATCTCATGTTATAATAAACTTTAGTTTATTAATATTTTTTTTGTGATTTTATTAAGGTAGATTCGTTATGTAGACTGCGCCAGTTAAGTAAATAGAAGAAACACACTTTAGTTCAATTAATTTTATTATTTAATATTTGCGACACTTCGCTTTAACTTCTTACATACGACTGAAATGACTCTATGATTTACAACAATACTTATAACATAATTTCTTAAAACTAAGGGTTATGGATGAGAGAGATCAGAATTCAATTTAAAAGGAAAGGAGTAAAGAATAATTTATAAAGACTGAAAATAAAGAAAAAGTAAAACAATATATACAGTGAAGAGCATAATTGAACAATTACGTAACTCGCGCGCCACCCATGAATGGGGTCAGCTGAAAATGTGCACCTTCGTTTGACCATCAAAACTCAAGCGGCGGCCATGGTGATGGTGTAGGCCGCCATAAAAGCCAATGGTCGCTCTCCGCTCGTATTAATCGACCGTGGCATCAGAATAAATGCCGAATATTATCGCGAAAATATTCTGGAGGGTGTATTAAAGCCTTGGGCACGCAAACGTTTTGGCCGCAGACCTTGGGCATTCCAATAGGACTCAGCACGCGCCACCCAAGAATGGGGTCAGTTGAAAATGTGCTCCTTCGGTTGGTCACCAGAACTCAAGCGCCGGCCATGGTGATGATGTGCCCCGCCATAACAGCCGATGGTCGCTCTCGGCTCGTATCGCAATCGACCGTGGCATCAGAAAAAAAACAGAATACAATGGCGAAAATATTCTGGAGGGTATATTAAAGCCTTGGGCACGCAAACATTTTGGCCGTAGACCTTGGATATTCCAACAGGACTCAGCAGCACCATCGCACTCAGCACGCATCACCCAAGAATAGGGTCAGCTGAAAATGTGCACCTTCGGTTGGTCACTAGAACTCAAGCGCCGGCCATGGTGATGGTGTAGGCCACCATAAAAGCCGATGGTCGCTCTCCGCTCGTAGTATTAATCGACCGTGGCGTGACCTGGAGGGTGTATTGAAGCCCTGGGCACGCAAACATTTTGGCCGAAGACTTTGGACATTCCAACAGGACTCAGCACCATCGCACTCAGCACTCGCCACCCAGGAATGGTTACAAAATGAAATTCCTCGCTTCATTTCCAGCGCGCATTGGCCACCAAAATCTCCGGATACCAATCCGTTGGACTATTGTATCTGGAGTATTTTGGAAAGCAAGGTTGGCACTAAAAAAATACCAAAGTGTCGATCACCTGAAGCAAGCGCTTCGCAGGGAATGGGCCAAAATACTGCAGAGCAAGCAATTCGGGCAGTGTGTGACGGTTACACAGGCCATTTGAACGCCATAATTCGTGCCCAAGGTGACCAATTCAACAAATCTAAATCTATTCCGATATTTTTTTGCTTTCATTCAAAAAAAAAAAAAAAATTAAAAAAAAATAAAAATTATGGCGTTTGAGTTTGTTGCAGTTTTTTTTATCTCGCCCTATAGGTATTTGGCGTGACTGTCAAATGCCTTTCCGGAATCTCTTTGCTATATTTAAGGTCTTTACAAACATTATCTTCTGTATTTGTAATTTTTAGTTTCCAAACCATGCTTAAAGCTTCATTTCACTTCATGCAACAACAGAACACCCTAATATATGAAACACCCCACAAACGTCCTTTGAATAAAAATTTCATTCAATCAACAGTTATTGTTATTTCTTTTAAATTATTTTTTAAAAAAATTGAAAAGTATTATTTTTAAAAATTTGAAAATTTTAATTTTTTATTTTTTTTACACTGCCAAAAATTTGTATAAGTACACCCATAACTACAAAAAAAAAAAAAAAACAACAACATACATAACCGAATATATATTTTAAAAATTTTCTCTTTGAGTTCCGTTTTTTAATATTTATTTTATCGCTATTTATTCTTTTTTCTATGTGTTTGTGTGTTTATAGTATACTACGCCCATAACAAGTCCCGATACAGAACCTTGGAAGTGGATAAGTTAAACATACTTATGTCCGAAATTAAATGAAAACAATTGAACCAAAAAACACAGCAAAAGAAAAAAAAAACGAAAACGCAAAACCATACGCACTTAAACCCGAATAAAAGAACAAACCCAGATCAGGTCATTATAACATGCAATATTTGTTTTTGCTCAAAATTTTCTCAAACAACAACAACAATCTTTGATTTTTTCCATTATATAATAATTAATATCGCTAGTCGTATGTCGTCTGAATGCATTAAAACATTTCATGTTGATACGAATTTGTTGTTTACTCCTTTTTTAGTTTTGAGTTTTTAATTATTCGTATCGCATTTTCCGTTCGTCGTTCGTTGTCATTCTTTTGAGTTTTGCATGATTGTTGTTATATAAACAAAATATATTAATAATTTGTTTTCATAGAAAAGTAAAGGGAGGCTACTGCGTTTGTCCCACCTTTCTAGTGGAGTTTGAAATTAATTTCGAATTTTATTTTTGAGTTTTATCATTTCATTGAGATAAATTCTGATGTAAATTTGAGTAGGATACACTTCACATTCATTATTTCAAACAAATATTTTTTTAGAAAATCGTTTACTTGAAATAAGAAATTTTTGTTTCTGAAAAATCACCTATCCTCCCAGGGTCTGATAATGAGCTATATTACAAGTATGGATATATATAAGGAAGACGAGCCTCATAACTAGCCTTTGTATGTGATATTTACTTGGCGTTTAGAGAGTATTTTAGCAAATTTAAAGACGGGCCCCGAATGATGATCAAAATTTATTGATGATCGAAGTTTTAGTCGATATATGATAAGCGTTTTTACAAGGTTTTAAGGCTAGCAAAAAGGAGTATATATAAAGCCTTTAATGGCGAGCTAATGAGAGTCTCAATTCACGACTAAAATATATATTCTTTATAGATTTGACAAAATGAAAAGAGTCATTATGGAATATTGAAACAGGGAGTATCTGTTTAATTGTCTATATCTGAATAAAATTAAGTTTTTAAGAAAGTCCATCTCACAAATTTTAGGTATTTTTTCTTTGCTCAGTTTTTGAAAGCAATATTGCGGATTCATTAATTTTCTGAGTTCAAGGTGGACACAACCTTCAACCATTGTCCGTATATTTTTAATGTTGACTCATAATGGGCAAGTTTCCGAAGTAGTGGGCCAATATTTTAAATTTCATGTCCGACATAAGTTCGATATAATTATGAAGCGTTCCTGATTTGAACTATTCTATATGAGATATGTGAAAATTTTAGGAAAATATGGAATTATGTTTGTGGTACCACTTCCACTCCATCTTATACTGATAAAAATAATTCAATGAAAATCGAACATTTATTTCCCGTTTCATGCGAATAATTGTTAATCAAATTTTTATCTTTTGTTGTGGGGGTGGTATCTGAAGGAATGGACCGGTAAATTCCATGTTCATATTAGATCTCTGGTTGAGGGAAATATTTAGATATACGAGATATGAATACAATCACTGATTATTTCGGAAGTTTTAGAGATATAGAATTTAAATTGTGACCCTTTATGTGGAAGGTACCAGGAAGCGTAGGCCGATATCTGTCATCTTCACACCAGATCTTTTGTTGTTAAAGCATTGAAATGTGAACATTGACGGAAGTAATTGGATACATATTTTATGAACTTCAGGCTATTCACAGTTTTTACCTATTTTAGGGGGGTGTGGACCAATATATTCCATCTTCACACCACATCAAATATTGGTTATTTTTCGATGTAAACTTCAAAAACGCCGACTGTAAACTTCAAAAACGACTACTTTCATAATCTGCTGCATTTTCCCAGTAAATATTAAAAAAATTGAAATTTGTCGCACCAAGTCGAAGCTTGACGCATAGTAATATATTTATCAGACTTGGTCAGGATATTTTATATTGGCCCACTGCTTACATAAAGACCGAAATTATTCCCCAGTCTTTCTTAAATTTCCCTTCAAAAAGGTGTCGCCGCCAGAAGCATTGGTACTTGGTGTCATTCTTAATTTATGTTTGACCCGAAGACCTGAGGTATTGCAAAAATGTAAGTTTTCCGAAATTTCGGTTAATTTCAATAGTTATGAGCCCACATAGGGCTCTAAACAGAAGTTCCTAATAGGTACTAAAGACTGTGGCAGATAATTGCCTCTGCAGGCCCAGGTCGTCGCATAGCCCCCATATAATGGTGCCTCCTTTTATTCGGTATTTTGGTGATTTCAGCGGCATTATTCACCGGAATGGCTTCAACATTTCAACATGTGACAGAAAATTGTCTATGCAGGTCCAGGTTTTCGTATAGGCCCCCTACATCGTTACCTCTTTATATTCGGTATATTTATGATTTTATTGCTACAATATTCACCAGAATTGTTTCAAATTACAGCTGTGACATGATATTCTGTCTACGTCTAATTGTCGGTAACTCACTGTTTTCGGTATTTGGCTGATTTCAGCGACATTATTCTCCGGAATGATTTCGATTTTCGTATTTTAAGTTCCTTATGGGTACTGCAGTCTATGATATATTATTTTCTTCGTATGCAGGTTCAGGTCTTCACATAGCCCCCATATAACGGTAACTCCCTATATTCGGTTTTTTATGCTTTTGCGACATTATTCACGGGAATCTTTTCAAGTTCCGGGTATGAATACTATAATGGGTATTAAAAAGAATGTCTATATACATCCATGTTTTCGTATGGACCCCAATACAACGGCAGGGAGCTACAGTTAGTGCAGTTTTAAGATTTTAAGAGAATTTTAACTAATTTGATTTTTTTTTTTTTTTTTTGAAAATTTCCAAATTCGTTCTATTTGGGGGATGATATTCAAAGTTCGGCCCGGTCGAATATACTGTTTGCAAAATCGTGCAAAATTTGCAATTCGCAATATTCATAGGAGATCCCATAAATTACATTCATTCGTGATCAGCATAAAATGTTACATCGATTTAAAGATCACCACCCGTCATTCAACAAAAATCAAGACCCTGCCGAACTTCGATTTTTTTTTTGTTTCCGCATTAAATTTGTATATATGGACCGTGGGTCCTAAGGAAAATAAAAAAGGCATGCTATAATTTAGGATATAAAAAATATGTTTCTAAATTTATTCTTTTTACAGTACAAAAATTGCTAATTATTATGAAACAAAAAATATATATTTTATTTTTATACTAGTTTTTTTTTTCCATAAACCTCCATTATGTTGCATAAATAAAAATTTCATAATCAATTAAATGTTCCATCATTCCTTTTTGTCATTTTCATTTTTATTATTGTCATGCTATTTTCCTAATTTTATATTTGTTTTCTGTTATTAAATCTTGTAAAATGTAGTTTATGTTGTAAATATTGGATAATTAATGTTTATTATTGTATAGTACATATATAAAATAACACTTAACATAAGCACCTGAACAACCAACCCTTCTTAAAATAATTCAAAATTAACATACTAACCATTAATACTAACAAATATATGTTGCACTTACTTTTCATTAACACCAAAAAGAAATAACATTAAAAATTAAAAAAAAAAAAATAAATAATACTAACACTGCATTTCTTACTTGACATAAATGGTTTCATTAATTATTTTTCTTATCAAAAAAAAAAAAAAAAAAACGAACGAAAATGGTTGTAATAGATATTTGAAAAATTATATTTTTAAATAAATACTCTGAGTTTGTACGACGAGTCGAAATTGAACTTGAATTGAAAAATAAATCTATGAGTATTTATTAAATTAAGTAAAAATTTAAATTAAAAAATAAAAATTGAGGATATATCAGCCAATTTTCGATTTTTGACATCTGTTACGAATATTCAAATTGACCCTCAAAGTAGTAGGTTTCGAAGAAATGGACCAATATTAGCCATTTCGTAGCGGACCTAAATAAATATGATATATATATTTCGACGTGACAGATTTGGACTATATTGACTGCTTCCTTCACCTTATATGAGGTATGTGATAATTTTTTAGAAAATGTTAAAATGTGCCTTAATTTCCAAATTTAGTCGACCGAAGTATTCCGCATGGACAAAATTACAATAAAATCGAACATTTATATCCAATTTTATGCGAAATCATATATCATCATATTCATCTCAGATTTCTGGTTGAGAGAAATATTTAGATATAGCAAGATGTAAAGAATCGCTGACTTATTTCACAAGTTATGACAGATAAAAGTAATGAAAATTGTGACTCTTGGTGGGTGAGGTACCAGAAGGGGTTTAAGCTATATATAATCTTCACAACAGATCTTTTGTTAGCAAAAAAGTTTGTATGTGTGAAATTTGAATAGAGTTGGATACTTATATCGCTTTCTTAGATGGGTTTTTTAAACCTTGAACTCTATGTGGGGGAGGTACCAGAAGAAATGTTCCCATCTCTTCCATATTTATAACAGATCTTGTGTTGATGGAAATATTGAGATGTACCAAGTCTGAAAGGAATCGAATGTTAATTTCGCGTTTTATGAGCTTCATGGATATTCAAAATTTTAAGCCTTTGTGGAGGAGGTTCCAAAAGGAGTGGAGCGATATATTCAATCTTCACTGCATATCTTGTGTTAGTAGAAATAATGGGATGTATGAAATATTAAGGGAGCCGGATGCTTATTTCGGATTTTATTATTGTTTTGATTATTTGAAATTTTGACACTTTGTGGCGAAGGTACCAGAAGAAATATTCCCATTTCTACCATCTTTATAACAGATCTTGTTTTGATGGAAATATTGAGATGTGCAACGTTTGAATGGAATCGGATGATAAATTCGTGTTTTTTGAGCTTCATTGACATTGACAAGATGTGGGCCGATATATTCCATCTTCACAGCAGATCTTGTGTTAGTAGACATAATGGGATGTGTAAAATATGAAAAGAGCCGGATGATTATTTCGGATTTTATGATCGTTTTGGTTACTCAGAATATCGACCGTTTGTGAGGGAAGCATCATAATGAATGGTCCGATCTCCACCATCTTAATAACAGATCTTGTGCTAATGGAAATATTGAGATGTGCAATGTTTGTATGAAATCGGATGTTAATTTCGCGTTTTATGAGCTTCATGGATATTCAAAATTTTGACCTTTTGTGGGGAAGATATCAAAAGGATTGGACCGATATATCCCACCTTCATACCAGACTATTGTTTAATTAAAATTTTGTGATGTTTGAAATTTGAAGACAGTAAGACTCTTACTTCACATTATATTAGAGTTACAATTAATCACCCCCTTTTGTGGGGGTAGCACTGGATGGAGTTTCACACCTGACCTAGCACTGATGCAAATAATAGGATTTGTAAAGTTGGAGCAAAATCGAACTACCCGTTCTCTTTCTGTACAGTAAATTATTTTCTTTGAAAATATTGACATTTTGTGGGGGAGGCTCCAGAACTAGTGAACCGATATTGCCCATCTCCTAACTCGATCTAAGGTTGACAATAATATTTTCATGTACCAAGTTTGAATCAAATCGGATACTCCCTTCGAGAATTTTCGTGCGCACAAGCCAGACAGACGGACGGGCGGACATCGCTAGATCGACTCCAAATACCCTGAAACAGATATGGTTCAAAAAGATCTATGGTGTTAAACAGTTTTTAGCCTATCAAATAATATATACCCTCTCTATCCATATGGCTAAGGGTATAAAAATGTCGACCTTTTGTTAGAAAAGTACCAGAATCGCTAAATCGACTAAAATGTCCTATAACGGATTTAGTTCAAAGAGACCTAGGGTCTTAAACCGTTATTTCTATGAGGCACGTTTTGGCCGTATCAATTGATATATACTCTCTCTAGCCATATCGTTGTGGGTATAATTAGCCATATGGCTGCGGGTAGATTATATAGTAAATATTTTTCATGTAAAATTTTCATAAAAAAAAAAATCCGACCCCAGGTTGGGTGTTTTTTCTTTCAGTTCACTTTCGAATCGTCATACCAAAAACGGGACATTTATTTGATTTTTTCATTCGAGCTGAGCTTGTTGATTGATTGGTTACCATTTAAAGTATTTCCAGACACTTTTCCCAATCTCAATTGACACAATTTGTTCACTGCAGATGGCTGGATGGTTTGACAAGGCAAGGGCTTATTCCAAAATTGTCCAAGTGAAAATTGGCAGTGAAAAAAAACTTGGCTAGAAAGTATTCCTTTTCAAATATCAAAAAATCCATTTCAACCGTTAAGCTCAGATCAAAGAGATTTTCTTTAAAAAAAATTACAAAAATAGGAGAAGCCAAAAATAACAATTTGAAATAATTAGAGGCCAATTTTTTATTATTTGAAGTTTTTTTTTTTCAATAATTTGAAACTCTGTAAGTTAATAGTTCGTTATAAGTTAAGCTCAGAACAAATGATTTTTCTTTAAAACAAAAAAATAGAAGCCAAAAATTACAATTTGAAATAATTAGAGTTCAATTTTTTATTATTTGATATATTTTCAATATTTTGCATTTTTTGAAATAAAAAAAAAGATTTTCAAATATCTTTCACAACCATTTTCGTTTCAAAAATTTACCTGTCCCGAAGACCAGCATGCGTTTTCGTCATCATTGTCTATTACGATAGCTATTTGAAAAAATATTTCCAGATCTTTTCTAATATCAAATCTATTTTTTTTACAAAAATTTCCAGTTAACAGCATTAAAGAGTAGAGGAAAATTCATACCAGCCTCCAAGCTAAGAAGTTCTTCGATACAATCCATTGAATCGGCCGAAAGTGATTTTAATGACATCATAAATATGCGCAGAGAAAGCACCGAATTATCATCATAATGTTTAAAGAAAATTAAATATTAGAATTAAAAAAACAAACACTCACACACACACACACACACACACACTCTTAATTATTATTATTAAAAGAAATGAAGAAAAAACACACAAAAATTAATGTATAATTTAAAAAAAATTAAATTAGTTTAAGGAAGTGAAAAAATCTAACGAGAACCAATTTGAAAACCGAAGAGAGAATGCTTTGGTATTTCCTCCCCCACAAGAAAGAGAAAAGAAAACAATATGTGTTTTATTAACTGAAAAAAAAAACAAACAATTTATAGTAAAAATATAATTTTTATATAAATTATTGAATTACAAAATGAAAAGAAAATACGGAAAGAATTACATGTTTAATTGTAAGTAAAATTTTCAAATCAGTGTTTAAATTTAAACAATTATTTTTGAAAATTAAAAATCAAAAATAATACTTTTTTGTATATGTATGTAATTGTATATTAAATGTAATTTTTCTTTTTTAAAATATATATATCACAAATGATTTATACATCATTACCATTTTATTCCATATTCTACTTTTTTTTTGGCTTGCTCTCATCATGACACCCATGAAAACCCCAATTTCTCAACATGTATTTGTTATCAACTTTTGTTTTGTTTTAATTTTTAATATTTATTTCCAAATAATTATATCAAATAGATATTATATTCTGTATTATATAAATGTATGTATTTACTTAATCATAATTTAATAAATTTCCCCCAATTAAGTTAGCTTCCATTAAGTTATCATAGATTTTGATATTAACATTGTAAACTGATTATTTTGTAGTAGCCGAATTATTAAAAAAAGAAAAACATTCTCTCTGAAGACAACAAAAAACTTAAAACAAAATTATGGGCATTAATAAGTAGACAAAAAATATATATTAATATTGAGAAAATACGAATAATATTAATTATTACCCAATTAACATCATGCGAAATATGAATTTTATAAAGAAAAAATATAGAATATCTGTAGTGTATACTGGTCGTATTGAAAATTATAATACTGGAAAATAATATGAATAACAATTCATTATTTTCCTCGTTGTCCTATTCCCAAGGAAGTTTCCGTTTCTATTTCAAACATCATAATTTTTTTAAAACTGGAGGAAATAAATATATTATGTACTGTATACAGAAAAGGTATGGCACCTTTAAAAAAACTGTAAGGAAAGGTCCAAAGTTGGTCGGACCGACTATATGATACTCTAAACCACTATGCATATTTAAAAGCGCTCCCGTAAGATTTTTTTTTTTTTTTTTTGGAATTTTTGTGAAATAGATTGTATCAACTACCTTAGTTGAATGCGTATCGTGTATTTTAGAGTGGTCAGAATTTGGAAACTATATCCAACTCTGAATCCATTTTTAACATACTTGACGGATGCTTTTGTACCCCTTGTACCAAATATCATTGCTTTATAGTGCATGATATGACTTCAATGAGAACTATATTAAACAAGAAAGCAAAGGATATGGTGTTTGGGGCTGAACATGTGATACCCTAGAAACCCTACAGTATGTTGGAAACCCCCCTTATGTCTAAATCCATTTTTAAAGATTCCGTCTTTGTTATGATGTCATAGAACACTACCCAGCTTTTTGGCCTTTGCCAATATTTATGCACTCCGTTGTTGTTGTTGTTGTAGCAGTAGTACATGTGTGAGTTCGTGTTCTGCTAATCTGGTTCCAGCTCCAGGTTTAGAAATTCGGCTACTTTAACGGGCTGTAGCCAGAGATCCTCTGGAGTGAGTTGGGTAGGTTTGGCTGAGCAATTAAAAAGGTGTAGCGTATTGTGCGGGCCTGTATCGCACGCCGGGCAGGCGTCACCCACATCTTCATCAATTCGTGCCCAATACGAATTGAGGCGACTACACCATCCTGAACGTAATTGCGCCAAAACTACCCTGGTTTGTCTAGGCAGCTGACGTTCTTCGGCTGCAATGGATGGGGGGTTATGCCGTCGTTATATATCCGTCGTGTTGTTAGGTATTCAAAACAATTTCACACGAAATTTGTGATCCATTTTACAGCTATATATAATACAATGGTTATCCAAACTACTAGATTTCTTCTCTGTCCTTAACTCTCTTCCCATGCAAAATTCCGTGTCGATTGGTTTTCAATGGCGACCTGTAAAGCAGCTGCAAAATCAGGAAATATTTAATTTTTTTTATACCCTCAGCCATATGGCTACAGAGGGTATATATCATTTGATACGGCTAAAACTTGCCTCATCGAATTAACGGTGTTAGACCCTGCGTCTCTTTGGTGCAAATCCGTTTCAAGACATTTAAAGTCGATCTAGCAATTTCCGTCCATCCGTCTGTCTGTCTGGCTGGCTGGTGCACACGATAACTCTCGAAGGGAGTATCCGATTTAAACCAAACTTGGTACATCGTAATATTATTGTCAAACTTAGATCGAGTTCAAAGATGGATAATATCGGTCCACTCCTTCTGGTACCTCCCCCACAAAATGTCAACAATTTCAAAGAAAATAATTTAATGCACGGAAAAAGAAAGGATATTCCGAATTTTCTCCAACTTTGCATATCGTAATATTTTCATCAGTGCTAGCACAGGTGCAAAAATGGACAATATCGGTCCAATCCATCAAGAACCTCCCCCACAAGGATCAAAATTATGAATAATTATAACTCTTATAAAATGTGATGTAAGTGTCCGATTGTCTTCAAATTACACACATCACATTATTTTTGTTAGTCCAAGGTCTGGTGTGAAGATGGAATATATCGGTCCACTCCTGCTGGTACCTCCCCCACGAAGAGTCAAAATTTTGAATATTCATGAAGCTTATAAAACACGAAATTACCATCCGATTCCATTCAGACTTGGCTTATCCCAATATTTCCATCAAGATCTTTTATAAAGATGATAGAGATCGGACCATTCTTTCTGGTACCTCCCCCACAAAGTGTTAACATTTTGAATAATCAAAACGATCATAAAATGCGAAATAAACATTCGGTTCTCTTCAAATTACACACATCACAATATTTTTATTTGTCCAAGGTCGGTCCACTCCTTTTGACATCTCCCCCACAAAGGGTCAAAATTTTAAATATCCACGAAGTTAAAAAAAACGCGAAATTAACATCCGAATGGAATCAGACTTGGTACATTTCAATACTTCCATCAACACAAGATCTGTTGTAAAGATGGTAGAGGTCGGACTATTGCTTCTGGTACCTACACCGCTCTTAAAAGGCGAATAAACATCCATCTCTCTCCAATTTTACCCAGACCAACGATTTTGCTAACACAAGATCTGTTGTGAAGATTAAATATATCTGCCAATCCTCTTCTGGTACCTCACCCACAAAGGGTCACAATTTCCAATACTTATATCGGACATAACTTGCGAGACAAGTCGGCGATTCTATAAAAAAATATTTCACTTAAGCAGAAATCGGATGTGAATATATAATTTATTGGAATTTATGATTTCGCATAAAGTTGGATATAAATGTTCGATTTCCTTCAAATTTTGCACATACCAATGTTTTTATCTGTATTAGATGAAGTATGAATAGTCGACCGAACTATATCTGGAATTAAATATTTTCTAAAATTGATCACATATTTCATATATGGCGAAGGAAGTAGTCGATATAGTCCAAACCTGGCACGGCGCCATATTTATATTTATTTTGGTCCGATACGATAAAAGGACAATATTATTCAACTGTTTCGGAACCTCCCCCACAAGGGTCAGCAGTTTTACTAATGATAACTTAGGGCTGGGGGTATGCATCTGTCGGCAAAATCGACTGATACTATTTTATTTTCCATTCCAGTAAACTGAATGAAGCCATGGTGGCGTATGAAGTATTTTCGTGCAACATACGCAACCTAGGTTTGCGGTTTGTTTGAACATCTTTATAAAACATTAGGTGTTATATCTGACCCTAATCCTAGCCCCATACAAACATTTCATGAGGATCGCACTATAATTGCGACCTGTATGTAATACCCAAAACACATAGAGTTGCAGGGTGTAGAAATACTTTAACAAATTGAAACAATCGCATAAAAATATGATTAAAATTGAAATATTTTATCCTTAGGCAAGAGACCATTACGAAATGATGAGCACTTTGATAATCAGTCCAACAGTTCTTGACGCATAAGCAGAATAACTGAGCTATATTTCTTTTACATATATGTAGTGTACCAATTTTGCTATATATCCGGTATTTTGGCTATCAGCACCACTATAATGGACCGAAGTGACCTTTTAATGTATTTGTAATTTCGTCGGGATTAAAAATATTTACAGTTTAGTTGAAATTTTCGTATTTTTGACATAAAGTTTATGATTTATTTTACCCGCTAAATATTGGCCGATGACCGTCCGAATTGGTAGGCTTCTGCCCAGCCCCAAACTCTAACTGTATGCAAAATTCTGCGTCGAATTAATTTTTTTTTTCAAATTCCATTTTTTTTTTCATTTTTTATTTATTCGCCAGTTGGCATTTCGATACCTCTCCCCATTCCAAATATATAAGGAAATATAAACCTTAATCTACATTATTCACACTTCTAATTTCTTATTTAAATGCGACCAGTATATAACGACCATTTGGATTATATCAAGAACAAATTTTAGGAACCCTCAAAACAGGAAAATTTGTCAAATTTTGATATTAAATATTTACAAAGTAGAAATTTACATAAAAAAACTATGAAACTTTGGAAATACGAAATAAAATTCATAATTATTAAATATTAGTTTAAAACAAAGAAATAGAAAGAATATTCTCTGAATTTCATTTTAAACAATTCTTAGCAATTTCATGTCGATCAATTTTTAAACAAAAACCTAATGAATTTGTCACATCCATATAAATCATGGACCCAAGTAGATTTGTGACAAAGTTTCCTTTTCTGGCTAATTTATACTCGTATGAAATAAGTGTTTACCAGCGACGGACATAGGAATGCCTTTCGAAATCAGGAATACATTCGCGTGGGGCCAACTGGTAAAAAATTAAGTTTTTTGTACAA